TAGTGGTCTCAGTGCTGCAGAGGTGATTTTTTTAATACATTTGGCCTTTTCACCAGGAGGTACATCAAATAATGCCTGCCCACACCCCTCCCCACCAGCCTGGGTGCAAGGGCACACACAGGGGAGCAGGATGGGGACATGCACAACCACCAGGCAGTGGTTACAGGAGAGCAGCAAACTCCTTCCAGAAGCAGTAAGCACAAACATCCTATTCCAGGGGCAATGAACACCTCTGAACTCAGTGCCAAATGCAACCCAGACAATCCACCCACAGAGAAAATGATGGAGTTTTTCACTCTCAGTAGGAGTCAGTGAAGGAAGTGAGCTCTTAAAGACTGAAACACTTTCCACCCCCAGCTCTGGGTCTCTGACACTAAAATAAATGGAGTGCAAGACCAATTATCAGCTGGAGAGGCTTGTGAGATGCACAGCCTACATGAACACTTAGAGCCCCAAGAGCACAAACACAGGGCTTACAAAGGCCATTTCCTAAACTCCACAAATGTGTGTGTGTAATGGGATATGCACAGGCTCCATTTATTTTCCTACTTACACCCTGTGTGGGTGATCTGCTGGAAGGACCCCAATTTCCTCTACTCCCCTAACAGAAACAGGACTTGTATCTGGAGAAATATGAAGTTTGGGTTGGGAGGGACCCCTTCTCCCAGGCAACAAGAGATAGGACAACGGAAAACAGCCTCAAGCTGTGGCATGGGAGGTTTAGGCTGGATATCAGGAAGAATTTCTTCACTGAAAGAGTGGTTAACCATTGAAACAGGCTCCCCAGGGAAATGGTGGTGTCACCACCTCTGGAAGTGTTCAAAAAATGAGCAGATGTGGCACCTGGGGACATGGTTTAGTGGGCACGGTGGTATTCAGTGGTAGGGCACCTCTGCTGCAGTTCAACCTGCTCTAGTGTGACTTTGTTAACTGGCAGAGTTGACACAGTTTTGGCTACAAAGGACAGAGCTGCCTGAAAGGGAACACCTCACTTCTCCCACCTTGATGATCCCTGGACCAAAACTGGTCCAAGCAGTAACTCCAGTCACTGAATGACCTCTCTGACAGTGCCAAGTAATCCCAGGGCAGGTGGCACAGCACTTGTGGCACAGGTGACACAGCACGTGGGGTATGAATCACCTTCTCCCTGCAACCTGAAATTTAGGTCCTTGCCTTCATGGGCTGGATAAAACTCCCAGGGACTGGAAACACGGCCCCCAGGTGGCACTTCAGTGCCCATGGGACAGGGTGGCAGTTTGCCACTGTCATGTTGATGAACCTGCATCTGACATCTTAAGCACTGACATCCACTGAGGTAGAGAAAGAACCCATCTCTGTGCTCAGCAAATGTCCTCCAGCTCCCTTTGTGATCCTCACAGACTGGAGATCTTCCCATGGCAGTGGCTGAGCAGATCTCCTTCCAAGGAATGCCCTCCTGCCCAAGTCCTTAATAACTCAATAGCCCTGAGCCCAACAAGGCCTTTTAGCAGAGTTTCGGCTCTTAAAGTCTCAAAAAGTATGAATGGAGCAGCAGAGAGGCACAAATGTTTTCAGCTGGCTTGCACTGACACTTCAATCCCTCTGGCTGGGACCCACACATGCCAGAGAACACCACTTCCAGAGCTCCCAGGAAGGATGGGGACACACCACAAGGCTGCTGAGCTCCTGAGCAAACACTGCCACGGGCAGAAAAGGGAATGTCAGCACAGCTTAAAGCTGAAATGGGACAATGGAATTCCATTAACCCCAACCAGTCAGAACTGTCGAGGCCTAAACGTGACTGACCTTAGAATCACAGGATGGTTTGGGGTGGAAGGAACCTTCAAGACCACCTGGTTCCACAGCTGCCATGGGCAGGGACACCTCCCACTAGCCCAGGTTGCTCCAACCTGGCGTTGGACACTTCCAGGGATCCAGGGGCAGCCACAGTTCCCGTGGGCAACCTGTGCCAGGGCCTCCCCACCCTCACAGGGAAGAGTTTAACTATGAATTTAAACTTTAAGAACTTGACCTTAACTGACTGAAATAGAAAAAGGCCACTTTTTATTAAGAACAGCACCAAGATTTAATCTGATCTGACTAATTAAAAGGAAGATTTTGTGCCCAAAGCTTGGGAAGAGCTCAGTACCTGCTGTGCACTGGAGCTGGCTGTGACACTGCCCAGCTGCTTCCGCAGCTCCTCGAGCTCCTGCAGGGAGATCTTGGAAGTAGATGAGGGGATGGAAAAATTCGTGGTGCTGCTGGTTGCTGCATTTGCTGCGAGTTCTGCCCTTTCTTTAGCATTTTGTTGCAGATAGTGGAGTGTCTGTACATACACAAAACAGAGATAAGATTTTGTGAGTGCTGGACAGCACACACTAAGGCAAAAACCATATGACCATAAGCTTGTTGTGCTGAATCCGACCACAGATCTCTCTGTCCCAGTTTTCCACGGATTATATCAAGAGGAGTGTAATTCTCAGTAGTGCTTTAATAACTCAGTAAATGCTAGAACTGGTTATTTGTTGATTTTTATGGATTTCACCATCAGTTGTGCTCAAAATCATTGCATTGCTGCTACTGTTCAACACCCATTTCCAAAGGAAACACCAACCTCTTTGTCTTCAGTGAGTTTTGACAGCAGATAAACTAAAGAATCCAGATGCCTTGTGTTTTTAGACTTCAGCTCATCGTATTTCTTTAAAAAATCTTCAGGAGTTCGAGTAAACTCTGCTATTTTTACCTGTAAAACACATTACTATCAGTGAGAAGTAAATTAAATTGAATTAGAGCAAACATGCAGCTCAGGCTACACAGATATGAACTTTCAGAGTTAGCAATTTTCTAGCACTTAAAGCTTGACTGGCGGATGGCTTTTAAAAGCAACAATAAAAAGCAGTATTATGGCCATAAAAGTATGCCTGGTCATGAGGGAGTTGTAGAGAGTGAGAAGGTCTCCCCTGAGCCTCCTCCTCTCCAGGCTGAGCCCCTGCAGCTCCCTCAGCTGCTCCTCACAGCACTTGTGCTTCAGACCCTTCCCCAGCCTTGCTGCCCTTCTTTGGACACTCTCCAGCCCCTCCACGTCCCTCCTGAGCTGAGGGCCCAGAACTGGACACAGCACTCCAGGGCTGGCCTCACCAGTGCCCAGTCCAGGGGAAGAATCACTGCCCTGGTCCTGCTGCCACACTGTTCCTGATCCAAGTCAGGATCCATCGGCCTTCTTGGCCACCTGGGCACACTCTGGCTCCTGTTCAGCTCCTGTCACCAGCCCTCCCAGCTCCCTTTCTCTCCAGTCACTCTGTCCCAGCCCGTGGGGCTGCCGGGGGTTGTTGTGGCCAAAGTGCAGGACCCGGCACTTGGCCTGGTTGAACCTCATCCCGTTGGATTCAGCCCAACTCTCCAGCCTGTCCAGGTCCTTCTGCAGAGCCCTCCTGCCCTCCAGCAGCTTGACACTCCCCCCCAGTGTGGTGACATCTGCAAATCTGCTGATGGTGGACTCGACCCCCTTACCCAGATCACCAATAACGATATCAAACAGATATTCCCGACAGTCTTCCCGCTGCACACCCGTAACTGCGATTCCAGATGAGATCACCCTGGAGGGGGGGTTTCTTTTCCTGCTGGATGACCCATTATGCCCAGAGAGAGCCGGGAGGGGGTGCTGACCTTGGCACTGTGGGCAGACACGGTGGTGGTGACGTAGGGCGTGCGGTTCTTCTGCAGCAGGTCGATGTAGACCTCGGCGCCCTCCCCGCCGTGCACCCGCAGCAGGCTCAGCAGCTCGTTCACATCGTGGTGGATCCTGAACTCGTTCATGCTCCCTCCTCGGCCTGTGGGACACGGGGAAAAGCAGGGAGTTGTCCTTTTGTTGTACAAGCTGAATGAAAACACGGCTGGCGCACGTGATGCTTCCAGCGTGGAGATGTTTGGCTGGGATAAGGGAATGCGCCCAGAGGAAGCAAATGAAACCTTGTGGGGCCTGATTTAGCTACACTGGCACAAACCCCACCTCAAACAGGGGTGGGCCAGCAGAGGGATTTTCCACCTGCAAAGGGAAGCCCCGTTCGTGTCCTGACAGCTGGCACTGCTGCTTTCAGCAGCACGGCCACGCTGCTGCTCCTGAACTCACTGAGAAGCAGTTTTTCCCCCATTTAGCATCTTTATATTCCACTGCCCACTTTATTACGACCAAGCATCAAATTCTGCAGAGTTACTTAAATGAGAGTCTGAACGAGGCATCACGACAACAACCGAGGAGTTTAATGCAACACCCTGCACAGACTGTATCAGGCAGACACAGTGTAGATCCATGGATCAGGCACACGGACACACTCTTGGTTTGCCAAGGTCAGGGCACTGTTTAGGCTGGAATGGCTGCGGGTGCGGCGCTGGGAGCGGGATCGCGCCGGGCGGGTCCCGCTGCATCCCACGGCGGATCGCCCGGAGCGGCCCCCGGGTAGCGCCTCAGCCCCGGCCCGCTTCATATCCCATTCCGTCCCGCTCCATCCCGACCCGCTCCTCTCCAACCCGTCCCGTCCCGCCCCATACCCCATCTCTCCCATATCCCATCCCGTTCCGCTCCATCCCGTCCCGTTCCTCTCCATCCCCCCCGTCCATCTCCATCCCGTCCCGCCCCACTCCACACACCATTCTGTCCCGCTTCATCCCGTCCTGCCCCGCTCCATACACCCATTCTGTCCCGCTTCATCCCGTCCCGTCCCATATCCCATCTCTCCCATATCCCATTCCGTCCCGCTCTATCCCGTCCCGTCCCGTCCCGCTCCGTCCCGTCCCGCTCCATCCCGTCCCGCTGCATATCCCATTCCGTCCCGCCCCATATCCTATCCTATGCTATGCCAGTCCCAATCCCATCCCATCCCATCCCATCCCTACCTGTCCCGCCCGGAAGTGCCGCCGCGGGCGCCGGGAAGCGCGTCCCTGGCGTTGCGCACGCGCAGTGCCCGCGGTGTCGCCGCTCCGCGCCCCCCCGCGCACGCGCAGTGCCCGCCCCGCCGCCCGCCATGGCGGCGCTGCCGCTGCCGCCGGGGCTGCGCCTGCGGCTCCGTGAGGGCATCCCGCAGGACCCCACCCGGGAGCTCCTCCGGGAGCCCCCTCAGCCCCCCGCTCAGCCCCTGCCGCCCTTCACCTTCGCCCCCCGCCGCCTCCGCCTCGGCCCGCAGCACCCGCTGCTGGAGGTGAGGCTCCCCCCGCAGCAGAGGGGGCTCGGCGCGGTGTTTTACAGCCCTGCCCGCCCGCCCACGGCCCTCTCTGCTCCTCTCTAGGACGGGGACGTGCACAGGCACCTCTACCTGCAGGGCGTCCTCACCAGCCTCGAGGAGGTGGCCGAGAGACCCAAGTAAGTGAGGCGGGGGCTCGTCAGCACGGCTGCGGGCGAGCCCTGAGCAGCGGGGTCAAGGAATGGTTTGAGTGGGAAGGGGCCTTAAAGCTCATCCAGTTTCACCCCCTGCCGTGGGCAGGGACACCTTCCAGACACCTTCCACTGTCCTAGGTTGTTCCGAGCCCTGTCCAGCCTGGCCTTGAACTGATCTTGGACATCCTCAAGCTCTCTGGGCAACTGCAGCCGGGGCAGCTCCAACTAGGAAGGTTAAACCCGGGACAGAATCCTTGCCTTGCTCCTGTATGTAAAATCGAGGAAGTACTTTGAGTGTTGTGTGAGGTTTTCCACTGGATACCTGTTAAAAAAGCATTGGCACAACATTGTCATCCATAACTGTGACTTTAGGGTCAAACAGCACTTATTTATCACATTACTGCCTTGTTTATTGTTCATCAAAGCACCACTTGACAGGATGATAACAGAGATGATCCCGAAGCCATAATTGCAAATAAGAGTAATCAAATGAAAGTAATCAGCCATTGGAATGGGCTGCCCAGGGAGGGGGTGGAGTCACCATCCCTGGAGGTGTTTAAGGTGAGACTGGGTGTGGCATCAGTGCCATGGGCTGGGAACCACGGCGAGGTGGGATTGAGGGTTGGACTGGATGATCTCAGAGGTCTTTTCCAACCCGGTTGATCCTATGATTCTGTGATAATTGCAAATAAGTTTCCAATGGCACATAAGTTTCTAACTGCCAGCACCATCACGATCTTGGTTCCATTTTGCCTGGCATTTAATTTATTACTCATAAAAGATGCCACTAGTGTTCGTCTGGTGGAAGGTGTCCCTGCCCATGGCAGGGGGGTTGGACTGGGTGGTTTTTATAGTCCCTTCCAGCCCAGACCATCCTGGCATTCTGTGATAAGGTCACCTAGAGGGCTGTGTTCAGCTGACACTGAGGCTCTAACTCAGCTCAAGGTGTGGCTGTCCCCATTTCCCCGCAGGGTGTCCGAGTTCAGCTGCCACATCTCCGGGTGCTGCCAGGTGTTTGACACGCTGGAGGGCTACGAGCACCACTACAACACCCTGCACAGGAACGTCTGCTCCTTCTGCAAGCGCTCCTTTCCCTCAGGGAACCTCCTGGATATCCACATCTTGGAGTGGCACGACTCGCTCTTCCAGATCATGGCCGAGAAGCAGAACATGGTGAGTTGCCGTGCCCAGCCCTGGGCTCGGGGCTGGAGTGCACTTGTCTCTTCCAGTTAGGTCTTTTTTCCCCCTCCTTGCCTTTCAGTACAAGTGTTTGGTGGAAGGCTGCCCAGAGAAGTTCAAGAGCAGCAAGGACAGGAAGGATCACTTGGTGACTGTGCACCTTTACCCTGCTGACTTTCGGTTTGATAGACCCAAGAAAGTGAAAAGGTAACTGCAGAACTTTCCTCCTCTCCTGTGAGGAAAGGCTGGGAGAGTTGGGATTGTTCAGCCTGGAGAAGAGAAGCTTTGGGGTGACCTGATTGTGGCTTTCCAGGGCCTGAAGGGAGCCTGCAAGAAACATGGAGAGAGACTGTTTCCAAGAGCCTGGAGTGCCAGGACAAGGGGGAATGGCTTCAAAATGAAAGAGAGGAGGGTTAGATGGGATATTGGGAAGGAATTCTTCCCTGTGAGGGTGGGGAGGCCCTGGCACAGGTTGCCCAGAGAAGCTGTGGCTGCCCCTGGATCCCTGGAAGTGTCCAAGGCCAGGTTGGACGGGGCTTGGAGCAACCTGGGCTAGTGGAAGGTGTCCCTGCCCATGGCAGGGGATGGAACTGGATGAGCTCTAAGGTCCCTTCCAACCCAAATCATTCTGTGATTCTAAGTGAAATGTGTCCTCTTCCCAATACTTGAGGGAGCAGCAGGTTGAGGATGGAAGAGCAGAGTGGCTTGGCCAGCCAGGGATGAAAACGTAACAGTCACCTCTGGCATCAGTAGGTCAGCTAAAGGACAGTCCTCAGGGAATTGAGCCTGTGGAATGAGTTAGGCTTTTTGGAGTGAAGAGAAGGACCTGGGCAGAGAGCTGCGTGCGTGCTGTGTATTCATTAAGTAGTGGGTATTGAATAGAAACTCACACAAGCCTCTCTCTGGAGCCGAATCCCTGTGCCTCCGTGCACTAACTCATCCCAGCTGGACTTGTTTCCTCATGAAATATCCTTGGCTCTGGGCTTACATGGCAGCCACTGAGCCAGGATGTAAAACTGTGTCCCTGCAGTGTCCCCAAGCACACGAGCTGTCCCGCGGAGCAGGGCCCCAGCGTGCCCATGGAGGTGAGCGTGGAGACGGCCGAGCAATTCCAGCTGGACCCCATGGAAACAGGGCCTGGTGAGGACATGGAGATCCCTCAGCCTGCAGCCAGCCCTGGCCCCTCGCTGCCAGAGAAACGGCTCTACAAATCCAGGTCTGTGCTTTGGCCTCCACGGGCCAGAGAGTCTTACCAGCCCTTGGCAGGGCTCACTGTGTTCCTGTGCTGAAGATAAAAGAGGCAGGAATTCCATGTGTGTTTTCAAAGGCATTTTCAAAAGAGGAAAGTGTGGAAGGGCAGAACAGGCCACTGCAGTGTTGGCAAGGTCCTGTTAGTCTGCCCACCCAGGATCTCTTCCTGGGGTATTGCAGGATGGTGCTTCTGCTCTCCTGCTCCTCACAGTCAACCACTGCAACTGCCCAGTTACTACATTTGGTAACACTTACACGTGGCTGGAAAAAGGGGAGAGGCCTCCAGAACAGGAATGTGCGGAATACACAGGAAAGCCAACCAGGATTTCACCCACTTTTTTATTTGTTGATTTAGATGTCCTGCTCTTTCCACTCCAGGAGCTTAAAATGCCACACAGAGCATCGCCATGAGGGATAGGCTGTTAACGTGGATTAAAGTCTGTCTCCCTTTCCAGGATCCCATCCACAATTTGCTTTGGACAAGGTGCCACCCGAGGATTTAAAGGACCAAGGAAGAAGGTCTGAAGGTCAGTGCAGCAGATTTGGGCAGGATGAGCAGATGTGGGGCCGGTGCCACCCACGCTGTGGCCGAGCAGGGATATTTCCAGTTCCCACTCCACACTGGGAATAAGCCACCCAAACCAATTAAAGCTCCACCAGCATTTGAACACGGGTTCGTGATGTCAGATGGAGTTGGGCCAACCTGACTGAGTTAAGAATCCTCAAGATTTTAGAAAGGGGAACCCAAAATGTGTGGTGAGGTGTTAAGGAAACTGTCCTGCAGCTGAGACTGCACAGGATTGGGTGTTTTAATTTTTTTGCCTTCTGGAGGAAAAAAACAGATTCAAGAAATTCCAAGACAAAATCTGCTGACTGCATGGAAGCTGTGAAGAAAGAAAACAGGGCAAAAAAGGTGTTGGTCCTTAATTCTGACCTTCTCCATCTCGCTGAAGTCTCCTCTGCACCCTGGCTCTCGCTGTGGAACCCACATGAAAGGTCTGTCTGGCCCAGGAGAAGCATTTCCACGGGGAGTTAAAGTGACTTCAGCCAGGTGAATAAATAAAAGGAATTTTTATAAAATTGCTTCACAGAGAGTTTAAATGGCATTTTGAAGGCAGAGATGTGCAAAATGGACCTCCCTCCTTTTGCTCCCAATACCCCCAAAATCAGGTTGGGATGGAAGTTTTCCCTCTTGCCTCTCCCTTCCTTTGTAATCTCGTCCTCCTGGGAAAAATTGAAAACACAGAGCCAGGCTCAGAGTGCTGCCACTGGTCTCAGGGTCCTGGTGAACCCTGACACTCAAAATTTATCCATAAAGGGAAAAAAAGAGGTTGCTGGAACGATGTTTATCCAAGAAGCTTAGGATCTATAATTGCATTTTTTCCCTCCCCCCTCTGAATGAGGAATAGAGGATAAAAGGGGCTTTGGAAAATCCTTGCAAATGGGAGCAGGGAATGATGTTTACTGAGATGCAGGAGATTTCCCAGTGAGTTTTAAAAAGCTTCACTCTGTTTAAAACTCAGCCAGCTTGTCCAGCTTAATCCCTGCTCCTGGAGTGCTGTCTCCAGCAGGCAAACCCCCCAGCCAGGATCCCATATCTGCCCAGGGACATCTTTCAGCAGGGACCAAAAATCACTTTCCCACACCGGGAGCCCCTAATGAGGGGTTTTTTCCTCCCCACTGGGGTATCTGGGAATGGGACTCAGGCCCCACGTCACTGGAGATGCCTGCAGGCTTTGGCAAAGGTGATGGTGCAAAGGTCAGGCAGGAGCAGCCCAACCCTCCCTTATGGGTTCAGGTCCACAAGTTTTGACCTGGGCATTCCTTTCTCCCCCGAGTGCCTGCCCTTGCTAATGGAAAACAAACTGAACTTGCAATTACAGCCTCAGGGCTCATGACTTGTCTCTTCTGGGACACCTGCTTTTCCCAGAGTCCATGGGCAATGAAGTCTGTCCCAGCTGGAAAAAATCCTTCTCTCAAGCCAAAACTTGAATTTCCCTTTTTTTTTTAGTTTTAAACACACACACAGAGCTGATCCATGCACAGAAACGGGGTGTCACCCACCACAGCTGGGGAGAAGCTTTGGACTCGCTCACACTTCCAATTTCCAGGGGGAAAAAAGATGCGTTGGGAAACATTCTGGGGATGAAAGCCCCCAAATCACCTGTTTCACTCCTGTTGCAGGAGAGCTGAAGGCACTGGTGTGGTGGAGGCGGATGCCAGGCTGGAGAAGCAAAGGGAAGGGTCACAGCTGAGCCAGGGACACGCAGGAACCAGGCAGCTGCGCCAGCAGAGAGGTCAGAGAGGGTCTCCCCTGCAGCTACCCCCAGAGCAAGAGGGAGCAGCTCCAGGCCAGAGGCCACCACCTTTCTGGGACACCTGGGAGTCTCCCTGAGCAGCAGGAACTGGCACCACCCGGGGACACGAGGGACGGGCGGGCACGAGGCCGGGCAAAGTGCACAGCCAGGTGTGGTGAGAGGCAGCCATGGAGGGGTAGGTCCTGCCAGCCCCAGCGGGCACAGGGGGTGGGCAGGGTGGGTGCTGGGGGTCAGGGGGGAGCGGGGGGCACAGGAACTGGGTGCAGGGGGTGGGGCAGCACTGGCCACACGGCTCCTGCCACTGTGTCTCCTCTGCTTCAGCCCGAGGCTCTGCAGCATCACCGTCCTGCTGGGCACTGCCCTCCTCCTGCTGGCACCCAGCAGCACCCAGGTGAGCCACCCCTCTGCTTCACCCTCCTGCTGTCCCCTCTGATGAGCAGGCCCACCATGGGTGGTGCCACCCCCCTCTCTCCCTGCAGGCTCTGAGCAGCTCCGGGCGGAAGGGCCTGCCCACGGACCGGGATTTGGACAAGGAAATGTAAGAGGTGGACGTGCTCCCTACACCTTCAGGCTTGTAAAAGCCAGCAGAACAACACCCCAAAATGGAAAGCGTTTCAGGGGGGAATAAATTCCCCTTGGGCTTTGTGCCCCCTCAAAATTAGGAGGCTCCCAGCTCCACCTTCTCCCCCATATTGCCCAAACTCCCCAAGCATCTAGCCCCAGCTGGTTTCCCTATTCCTTTGGCTAAATTAGCCCCTTTGCTCCCCAAGATACTAATTTCTGCTTCCTGGAGTGGGGGGGAATCCTGCCAGGGCCCCTGCCCTCTGATAGGGTGGGATTCCCCTGGGGCAGGGTGGTATTTAGCAACCTTTCCTCGCTGATTTTGCTCCCCTCTTCCAGCATCTCGGGTGTGGATGTGCTGGAGGAGCGAGAGCTCTCCGAAGAGGTGACACCAGGTAGAAAGGCTGTGTCCAGAAGGGCCTGGCACCCCCCACAAGTCCAGGTAGAGCCAGAGGAGGATCGAGACCACCTCCACCACCCCCAGGATGATGCCAGGAAGGTGGATGTCCGTGAGCCACCCCGGATGCTGACCCTGCAGGTGCAGAATGGCCCAGAGGAGGACCGTGACCATCTCTACCACAGCTGAGTGCAGATGTGCCCAGGCTGTGAAATGAGGTGTGGGAGCCACCCCTGGGGCTCCCTGGGGGTACTCATCCTTCCCTACCCACCCTTGAGGCCCCCCCAATAAACCCACTCCCCTCTCCAATGTCCTGGTGGGCTCCTCGTTGCTGCCAGAAACCTGCTGCTAAGTACAGGGCCCTAAACCTGAGGGATCCCCCTCCTTGGGATTGCCCCAAGACCCCAAGCAGGGTGAGGATGATGCCCTGGGACGGGTGACTCGGTGCCACAGGCTGTCCCCTTCCTGGGGGACACACGGATCTCCACGAGTCTGCTCTTGCCCAGCCCAGCATCAGAGAGCAGTGTGACAGAGTGGGGGGTCTCAGTGAACCCAAACCTTTCCCAGCTGAGGCAGGAGCTCAGAGAAGGACGCCCCATGTCCCGGCAGCACCTAGAAAATGTTTTAATAGCAAAGGCAGAGGTGGTCCCCACTGCTGGTTGTCACCCCAAGCATCGCTCGCCGATGGGTCCCAGTCCCCTCCACGGGGTAAGGCAGAGGGGCAGCAGGTGGCTGTGGGGACCTGCACCACTCCAGGGATCTGCACATGCCTGGGGAACCTGCACATCCCTGGGGACCTGCACATCCTGGGGACCTGCACATCCCTGGGGACTGCAGCTCCTCGGGCTCAGCTGTCGGTGAATTTTGCCTTGCGCTTCTCCACGAAAGCCGTCATCCCCTCTTTGCGGTCATCCTGGGAGGAGCAGAGAGGTGAGGTTTGGGGGGCTGTGGCAGCCCCACTATCCCCCCACCATGGGGCTGATCCCCACCCTCCCACGGGGCAGATCCCTCTACTCACAGTGGCAAAGGTCGCGTAAAAGAGACGCTTCTCCGTCCTGTTCCCCTCTGTCAGTGTCGTCTCAAAGGCTGAGAGCAAGGGAGAAGTTGGGGAGACCCCTCTGCCTGGCCCCACAGCCCCCCCAAGGAGTTCCCAGTTGGCCCCCCAGTCCCTACCAGCATTGACTGACTCCTTGGCCAGGGCAGCCACCAGCTTGGAGTTGCTGGCGATCTTCTCAGCGCAGGCGATGGCCGCGTCCAGCAGCTTCTCCACGGGGAACACCTTGCTGACCAGACCTAGGATGGGCAGTGGGAAGTGGGGGGATGGCTCCCTGCTGGCCCCCTGCAGTGCCAGGGCTGGCCCACGCCCCTACCTGCCTCCTTGGCCTCCGCTGCCGAAATCCGGTCCCCGGTGAGCACCATCTCCATGGCCAGCGACTTCCCCACCGCCCTGGTGAGCCTCTGCGTCCCGCCGGCACCTGGACGCAGGTAGGGAAGGGGGAGGTCCAGAGAGGGATAGCTGGGTGTCCCCACTCCACCCGGGATGGAACCCCCTGGCCGGTGCCCGGCGCTCACCTGGGATGGTTCCCAGCAGGATTTCGGGTTGCCCGAACTGCGCCTTCTCCCCGGCGTAGATGATGTCGCACATCATGGCCAGCTCGCACCCGCCACCCAGCTGGGACAGGGGAGGCACAGGGGGGTCAGGGGGTGGCACTGGGGGGTCAGGGGGTACAGGGGGTACAGGGAGAGGCGGGGGGCACTCACGGCGTAGCCATTGACAGCGGCGATGATGGGTTTACGGACGATGGAGACCTTGTCCCACCCGCCCAGGAAGGCGCCGTTGTAGCACTCCTGGAAGGTTTTATTCTGCATCTCCTTGATGTCCGCGCCGGCTGCAAAGGGAAGTGGGCTGGGACACCAACTCCTCCCCCAACCTTCCCCAAAATTTTGGGGTGGGGAGAGGCGTCTTCGCCCTACCTGCAAAGGCTTTCTGGCTGCCGGTGAGGACGATGGCTCCCACCTGCGGGTCGCTCTCCATGGCCTCCAGCGCCTGCCGCAGCTCGGCCATCAGCCCCTCGCAGAGCGCGTTCAGCGCCTGCGGCCGGTTCAGCTGGATCAGCCCCACGTTCTTCTGCGCCCCCGTCTTCTGCACCAACAGGTACTGGAACGTGGACCCTGCCGCCACCCGGGCACCGGCCCGTGAGCCCACCGGGTGCCGGGCACGGGGTGAGACCCCTGACAACCCCTGGCCAGGTCCGGCCGCCGCCCCGCGCTATATTAAGGCGACCTTCACGCCAGCGGTCACCGGCAGCCGGCGGGGACGTGTCCGCGGGTCTCGGCTCGGGGGAGCTGCCGGTGTCACCCTGCCCTGGGCAGGTGCAGCTCCGGGACCACCCTGTGCCGGGACGGCGAGCCACCGGTACCGGGGTATGGCGCAGGCACCCTGGGACCTGCTGCACAGCCCAGGGACCACGTGCAAGTTGCTGGACACACGCCCGGTGCTGGGACCGTGTCCGGTGCAGGGACCCGGTGCTCACCACCCCCCTCCGCCAAGCCCACCCCCCGCCAGCCCCCGGTGCCCTCCCCGTGCCCCGGTGCTCACCGGCGCTGCAGCCCCGCGTGCCGGCGGGGTTGCGGAGCGGCGGCGGGGGCCGCGCCCGGGGCAGCGCGGCGGCGGCGGGGCGGAGG